GGGAAACACTGACAGCAACTTACAATTTTCTGTCCTCATTAGATAGGTAAGTTGCTCTAGAGGTACAATAGATGTTTTGTACATGTGTTTGCAGTTTTGTAGGCTAAATATCAATTTACCTTACGTGAACCAATTTGCACTTTTTATACGTTACACTTTTGTTTACCATTGTACTAGAATTGGATGCCTGCTTTAAGCAATAACAATTTCTTGCCTGTAAAATGCGGTTCTTTTTTCACGTAGGAACTTCCACGGATTCCGTGAATTACAGTGGACAAAAATGAGACCGCGATCAACCACCTTGTCTCCTTCATGAACGCCTGTCTCATTTTATTCCACTGCCACGTCCGGAGTCTGCGTGATGGTGCCTGTATCTTAATTACCTAATCAGCTGGACGTCTTCCTTTGTACACACATATTACTCAACGCAGCATACTTCTGAATTTGTTAATACAAATTGTGATTTCCTACTTTTCACAAAAGTAGCCCCATCGGTGTTTGTCATTATCCTAGGTTGTCAGACCCGATTTTGCTTTAACCTTGGGCTGAGAATTTGTCTGCTAGATTGCTCGTGTCAAGGACAATATCCAAGGTCAGATTCCTTTTTCGAAACTTCTAAGGCCTAGTCTTCAAGTCTACTGTTTGAAGATCAGATAACGATGCCAGCAGACCTTTTACACTAGCGTTGACTTGCAAGGCAGACTCGAACTTGAACGATTAACTCTACATTCGATCATTATATGCCCAAGCAAGAAAACGACGTGTTCCAGTGCATTCGCCTAGATTCTCAGAAAGCCTTGGCTAAACGATCCGGCGTTTCGTTTACAGTGCTCTGGCATGTCACATCTGCCGTTGTAACTGGAACAGTGTACATTTGATGTATACGGCAACAGAGATTAACTTTACAGAATTGCTGTACATCCTTGTAGGTCGGTTATTGAGAATTCTCATTGGTTAGGAAACGTTATTTCTTCGTGGGATTATGTTCTACGAAATTAACTTCCAATTACGGCAAGGTATTTGCGTTTGGCACATAAGTCATGTCAAAGTTCACTGCTTTCTGACACTCGTGGAGTTAAAGCAGGTCGAGCAGATGCAACTGAGCATGGAATGGTTACTTAAGTTACCGTCGGGGTGGCAATCAATTAACTCGAAACGAAGTCTAATTAATTACCGCACTTTTATTCCCGAGGTGACTTAACTCACTACAGTTCAAAGGGTTCCAATGCCTGTTTCATGTTAAAAAAGATCCTAACTGGTTTCCATCTGATTGAATATTTAAGGATTCTAAATAAATCAATTCGGTATCAGCGAAGACCTCAAACGTAAATTTTCTCTCTCCTAAGAATTAAATTGCAGGGCATCAAATTATGTCGTTTTAGTGCAGTCAGCATTCTGCAGGAGTTTATGCAAACACTAGTCAGGAAAACCTTGGAGGTAAGAGATAACAAATATAACGGAATCAATTAGACATGAGGCCACATGCACTAATTCCCTACGAAAACAAATTTTTGCAAAATTAAAAATGGCAAAAGTCTTTGACAAAAAAGTTATCGTATGTTCACAAAGAACTTTTTTGCATAAGACCTCCATCTGAAGACAAACTACAACAGCGCACTTTAGCTAGTTTATCCGGTACTGGTGTAAGCATCTGGCTTCGTGCGATCCAAATGGACATATTGTCAGAATCAATGTAAAATAGAGTTTCGGATACCCAATTTACCGAGAAGCTAGCACAAATGACAAATATTATCACAGAATTTGAACCAAGCAGTTTATTGTTTCAATGATGATACGATTAATGGATAGAAAATCGATTAGCCAGGAAGCTCATACCACTAACTTGAACAAAATGCGAAGCAAAGCATCCAAATTTCTTAACAGCGATTAACAGACGTGTCAAGCCGGTGGGGTCTCGTTGGCCCTGTTACGAAAATCCAAAAACTCTCACACCCAGCTTGTTGTCCAATTTTTGCAATGAAATGCTCGATCCCCTACTCAGACGATGCTACTTACACTTGTTCTACTGACTGCACACACACGATGCGTCACCATAATTCAGAACTACTACAACTGGTGCGACAAGAATTCACTTTTTACTGCCTTTACTTAAGTAGGTCGAGCTGCTGCAACTGTCTTGATCAGGTTCGTTGCCTTAAGGAACACCCAACGGGCTAAAAAGCGTTATGGGCATATCAACAAGGCCATGTTTACTGACAAAAACACTACAGAAAGCTGCAGTTGTGCATGCATTTGCAAGGAGAATTAGGTTAAATTAAGTAGGGTATGTACAAAGCTGCCTGTAAAGAGTGCTCGCGATTCATAAATGTCTTTCTTGATTTCGCTCCAGTACAATCAACGCATCGCGGATTCTTTTCGTGGTACCTTGAGAGTCTGTACTGAGGTGTCCTTCAGCGGCTCATCCAGTTGCATGCGAACGCTTCGGAATGTCGAAAATCAGATTTTTGTTAACTAAAATTTGTTGACAAGAAGACAGAGCGATTAAGTCCGTCTCCATATCTTACATTGAATAAGAAAACTAAATCAAAATGTTATTATAGTAAGCAGAGCATAAGTACTCAAGTGATTGTGCTTGCGTTATGTAAAGCAGAAGAATTCAAAGCTTATGGACTACAACAGGTCATCAATTTAAATCAACAAAACCAAGCATCTATTGTGATCGTGTAGATACCTTTAGAGTTTAATAGCACTTACACAACGTCCATTTACACTTTAACTACCAGCGTATTGTTGGATTCTCTACTGTGGTTGGCGTAGACGTCACCATCTATACCTTTCGCTTATGCAATCTGAATGTGATACGGCAATTTGCATTAGCAGGGTTGTATCATTTACAATTATCTATTTTTAATTATTTTTCGCGTTTGTGAACACGACCTTCTGTATTCCTATAAAACTCTTTCAATGCAATTTTTCTCTTACCCACATTTAAGGTCGTCCTTATTTCATTTAAGTAGGTGCAAGTGATCGTGCCACCCTCCATGGACTGAGTGAGTAAAATGTCTCCTCAGGAGGTTGTGGTTTGTGGTAGCCTTAGCGTGAAGCGGTGCAGCCTCGTACGCGTTCAGTCGGAGTGCTAATGTAGGGTGATAGATACTATAAATTATGCCATCACTCATGTTAACGTTGGTGTGCACAAACACGAATGATAATGAAAAGTAGAAAGTGTCAAAATCGTGAAAGATTGAATTGCGAATACAGAATCCCGACGAAAAAATACTGCTTAAGCAGCCAATTTATTCGTTTTTTCTTGCAAGCCCACCTTTCAAGGGGTTTGAGCAGTCTTGTCGTTATTCGGGATACCCAACCAGAAACTCACTATGGTTTGCATTACTCTACATTACATGTCACTTAGTTTGCACACACCGGCACACACTCACGTCGTCTACTTCCTTCCGTCGAAATTTGATTTCTAGTCTCCTTCAAACTTATTCACCCACACACTAAGGGTCAAATAGAGATTATTCTGTCGTGGATGCAACTGATGCGCCACCTCAAACAGGCGTGTGTGTGTGATACCACATAGCAATGCAATGCGTGCATTTATAAAAGTTTAAACAACGTTACCATAATTTCAATAAAAACTAGCTCTTGAATGAATGAAAAGCTGCTTTTGCTTATCAAGTTCGAGAAGGTAAAATTAAACATGTATCAACACCACATAGGTACTTGCATAGGTTCAAAGCACTTCACAAATGTACTCCACGCCACAGTTAATATAACACTGACTACCATTACCGTCATGCAGAAGAAAACTGTTAACATGTAACGCGCCAGTTTTTTGCCTAGATATCCTTTGGAAAGGACAATGCAACTGAAAGATGCAAGGTCGCGCTGGAATTTCAGCGATCAATGCATTGCAGCCAGCATCACACTGCTCTTCGTATCCACGTGGATTGAACGTCCACTACCTTCGGTCCTAATTTGCATTCCCATCGCCTTCAGACTCGTTCACTTTTACCCCCTTCGACAACATCCCAAATGAAACCATTGAAATCCATTTGTGTGTGTCTGTGGTTTATTGTCTATACTAAAACGAGATTAGCGTTGACCATTTAGATTATTAACGCTCACGCTCGTGGTCAGCAGCTATTCCGCTCCGTATTGGGATAAGTACAACTAAGTTGATTTGCGTGAGCAACAGAAAGGCCAATTGACCTGCTGTTTTCCCAGGAATTAGCAATTGCTTATAAATATATATCTTGATATATTGGTTTGCATTAGATGCAACTAAGTATATATGGGGATTGAGTAGGTCCTTCCGATACGCCACCGCAAACAGGTGTGTGTGTGTGTCAGCGACGCCACACAACAATTCAAAACGTAAGCTCTTAGCCTAGTGCCAAAAACACGTTCACATGTGCCTACTTTTATGTGATTTGGGTGGCCTTAAGTGAAGGTAAGAGAAATAATGCACTCAAAGGTGCATGGACGAATACAAGAAAAGAGGCAAATTTAAGACGGGGCCTCAACACTGGTATAGGTGCGTAACATGGTGATTAAAATGTGTAATTAATTGGTGATTGTATTAAAGTCCTTGTATCGAATTTATTTAAAGCCATACAGAAAGCAACGTCATCTTGATTGATGCTTAAACTTTATCGTCACAAAAATGTCTTCCTGCTTAATGCATTTTTACCGTCAAGGGTTATTTTCCTCTAAATCATCAGTTGCCAATCAAATTCGTGAAGTTGATTTTGTAACTGAAAATTCACTTAATTGTGCACCCTTTTTGATTACGCAATGTTAAATCTGTCGATTCCGACATGGATGGTTACCAGACAAACGACAACAATTGTGCATTCTGCCGTCATTTTGCCTAGCACAGCAGCAATTATTAGCGTTAAGCAGAGACGGACTTAGTATCCTGTCATTTGAGGCGCAAATTATTGCAAACTGACCCTGCTTAGAGTTTGAACTTCTTTCGCATGAATCGGTACAGAATCTGCTTACGAAATTCTGTGGTGTTTGCAGCCGACTTAGTTGGCAGCTGGAGGACGACTTGGTTGAGAAGGAAAGGTACCACGCTGGGTGTCGTGTTGGAAGACGATTTCGCGCAGGAGACGTGGGTGCAACAGTGTTGGAACAACGATGCCTGGACCGCACTACAAGTCGAAAAAACCCAATGTAAACAGAACGTCATGTGGCAGTGGCTTGTGTGTCGTGAAGATTCTTTCTTGGCAAATACTCATTGCTGCATTCCATTTAATATATCTAGTTTGACATTACCATGTGTTTAGGCAATGCTGATCCAATTCGAAATACTATGGTTCAACCAACACACACTTTCATTCAAATAAAATGTGCATTTATGGACACCGAGTGCTGCATTTTGTCTAGCAGGTCGTCTAGCGGTCTGCGTCGCGAAACAAACAACATGAAGCACCTATTAGAAGCTCTTTCACATGGCGTGCAATGCACCCGTCCACACAGTCGAAATCGATCTGTCTAGACCCTCTGCCATGGATGAGCTGCTACAATGACGATTTTTTCTTGATTAATGGAATTCTATTTATATGACCAAAAAGCATGGATGCAGTTGGAAGACATTTACTGGATTCGCAATTTGCTCTACCCGACCCCTTAAAACTATGTTTTTGCCTTTCAAGCTACATAATTTAAAGTCGATTTTATAACAAAAAGAAACTTGAGTCGAATTGCTAGCTATCTAGTTTGTGCTCTGAGAACTGTCGTCTAGACGACCAGCTTGAGCAAACAGACAAAAAGCACCTGCAAACAGCTTTATGACCGTGCGTTGGTAACCACAGGCTAAGTTAGACGACTGGGGGAGCGCAGTGGGCGCCACAAAAGCCAGATGAGAAAAAGAGTGCCTGGGAAGCCTCTTATCACTGGCTCCTTTTATTTGACTGGCTTTGATGTTCCTGCTTGCGGTGGTAGTGGTGATTAACAGCAATGCCAACAATGGTAGATTAGTAGATATAAATAGTAAGAATCAACTAACTGAAACTCCAAAATTATAAAACAATCACACTTACTGCCCTCGTTTCTGATTAGCTTGCTACAGCACGAAAAATGGAGCATAGTGTTGTTAAAATTGTGAAAAACCGGGCTAACGCACATGTACGACCTATTAAAATCAACACAGTGGTAATGTAGACCAAAAAATAGTCAACGATAATGTGACCAAATACCGATAACTTCACCTAAGTAGTGAGCCAAATGACCTGGTCGAGCAATAAATGCATTTTTGCTTGTTAGACTGTCATGGACTATTCCGGCAGTGTCCTTTGCTCTGCAATTAAAATATTAGAACCTCGATGTGCATCCGTATTTGAATGCTCTAAATGTAATTGCGTGCCAATAGTCGGTAAGGCATCGTGGATCACAAGTACCATGACCACTTCTGCTTAGCACAAGAACTCTTGATCTGGCACATCAACGCTCTGAATATACATTAAAGTAGTTGTGTTCGGCTTCCTGTAAAAAGTGAATAGTTTTCAATAAAAACCTAATCAATAATATGTCTCACTGTGTATCTGCGTTATTCACGACCCAAAAGAATGTATAAAGAAGACATTTCAACTTCTGAAATATTTACATGATCGAAATTCTGCATTCATATGAAAATACACGATTTCCCAAACTTTAGTCAATTTGAATTATACCAACAATGCTGATGCTGCTTGCATTAGTGTAAAACCAGGAGATACTGTGATAGTGTTATACATTTTCTGCTTCCAATTTGAATGTTTGTAGTGTAACTTTAAGCAGTTACTGCACTAACGATTGTCCCTGCCTATCTTGGTTGAAACGTGTGTTAACCATCTGGCTAGTATGCGTAGCTTATGAAAACAGAATTAAGACAATATCATCAAGAGAATAACAGAACTAGCTTACATGTACGCATTTAGCAGATCGCCAAGTGACGAGGTCAAACATTAGAGGCCCCCTGCCCGTGAGTCTGTCATTGGCGGTCCCAGAGCACGTGTCCTTCACTCTACAATCAAAACGTTAAGGAATCAGTGTGCATCTGCATGTTGAATGTTCCAAATGTAACTACCTATCACCAGTCAGCAAAACAAATTAGATAGCGGCGCCTTGGCTATTTCTACTGACCGCACTGCGTCGCCTTGGTTTTGCACGACAACGCTATGAATATCAGTTACGTTAGTTAAGCTCGGCTTTCTGTAACGAGTGATTAATTTTGACCAACAATTTAATCAATATTATGATCTAGTGCTTATCTGTGTAACTCGCTACAAAAACATAAGTTAAAGAAGACATTTCAGGTGCGGAACTGGTTGCGAACTCGAGGACATTTCGGCGACTGCGGGTGCACAAAAGACACATAGCGTTGAGAAAGAGGTTATTTACCAGAACCGTGAAGTAAAGTGGCTCATATCAATTCATCTCTTCCATTTTTCAAATGTTCAACAAGGCTTCGCATCTGACGTCGAGTGCTTAGGCACCTGCACTGTCATCTTCGAGGTCGCCCAACAACTTTATCGCCGACGTTGCTGCAGTCCCAACAAGAAATTGCCTCAATTTTATGCCCACATCTACGCACCGTTATTCCCTTGAGTTGAATGTCACTAACCGTCCCACCTTGACTATTGCCTTTTCCTGCGATTGGAAGCTATACCAAGTTCCCACATATTGCGCTTCCTATGATATTTGCACCACAAAACTGCGAATCACAATTTCGTGGATGCACACTCCAATTGTTGGCTTAATAGTAGTGCTAATACTGCCTTTCCCTCAAGACAAAGCAATGTAGCTTTGGTGCGATTTCGTGCATTGAATTTAAGTCGATTAGCCTTCCAGCTAACAGAGGCCTGCCAAACTCGCTGTCTCGACACCTTCCTTCCGTATCGACCGCACCAAAATTCACACTTCGGATGTAAGAAGTGAGGTTCATCCAAGACCACTCCAAATCACTCATTTGGAATTGGATATATGAGTGTGTGTTTCATTAAAGTCGACTGAAGCAACACCAGACAAAATTAACCCAGGTTGAACTCACCGTTGCGTCGGACCCTTCGCCGACCAACCTGCGCCTCCAACAGGCAGGTTTGTAAAGCGAACAAGCCAGAGGGCTGTCCAGAATCCGTGAGGCAGATGACTTAAACAAACGGAAGGCTGGTGTCTTTCGGTGTACTTGATGCCTACCAAAGTGACAAAAATCTTGTAAACGGGTAAACAGAGTGCATGTCGTACAGCTAAGGGCAGTTGCAATGGTCTGGGTATTTTTGTATTGAGCAGAGTCGGTTCTCGACTAAATGCACAAACATTGATTGATTCTGGTCAACTAATAAGGCACAATGTAAAATTATGAATAAAGGCAACATTGTTATCATATCAGCACTTAGTTGGGCGTTTCATGGTTAGGAAGCTGGGAAAAAGGCGTGAGATTTCAGTAAGAGACCACCGTGCCAAACCACTAAGTTTTTAAGTGCAACGTATGTCCCAAGAATTTAGCACGGTAAAAAGAAGCGCATGGCCCACATCTACAGTCATATAACTGAACTACATTCAGTGCTTCAAGTAAGCTGCATCCAAACATAATTGCTGCAATTGACAACTCATTAATGCGTGCACATGCATTGTCGTGCAATGTATGCTTGTAAACGTAGTTTGTGACAGTTGAAAAGGTAGCTTCTATTTTATGCAGCATTTTTTTCAAATTTTTTTTCACAACAATAGCACTAACCTGTTCAGGCACTAAATCCCTACATAAGAAATTTCCTTTATCATCCACATCTACTGATATTATGCTTGCATAACTTTCTTGATTTCTCCAAAATTTGCAGGACTTAATCGACGCAGATTAATGCCATATTCAATGAATACAAAGGAGCCGAAGATATTGTTTAATAGTAAAGATGAAAAATAACTTAAAAATTTCGAAAATATTTAAAAACGAAACCCGGCGATTCCGAAACCTCAAAACTTAAAAAAGCAAATTTTAATGTCGCATTTACAGTGACAAATATCCCGTCGATAACATTGTACAAAATTTTAAGACTACTCCACAACACTGTGAGCCGATTCCGGAAATGTGGTAGTGGAAAGTTGGGTTATTAGGCTGATTGCTTATTTGGCATCGCGATGCTACTTGGCCAACGGACGCAGGCTTGTTTCATGGTACGCATTATATTCTTAAGTATAGGAGGGAGTCTTTTAATCTATAATTTGATTCTGCAGCTCTACGATTAAATAATCACGTGACTTTGAATTTAAGCATATCCTTGACAAGTGCGTTGTCTCATTTCTACCTGTTCCATCTGAATTAATTTAATTTTCACAGACGCTGTCAGTCTAATTGGCCTTGATGCTCTTGGTGTCCGAATTCGATTGTCGCAAGAAGTGAGTTTGATAAAACTTCGCCTGCATTTAATGGCCGGTCCTGCATTGTTCTAGATTGCCAAAAATTACAAATTACCTTATGCGGGTGTGAAAAGTTGCTGACATGTCCAGCGTGAGTTGAATGTTGACAAATAGACGCAAAATAGGCGTCAGAGCATCAGAGCAGATACACTGACCACACAAAATGAGCAACCCTGATACGGCATTACACTGATGTTCTTGAAGTTCGTGGAGAGCACTAATTCTGCTTTAAAATATGTGTGTGCATCTCCACAGCATCTCAAGAGGTTAAAAAGCAAGTCTGCATTTTAATTTTGCGCGTCGTGTTTAGTTTTGTAGTTTTTAGACTTTGAATAAACCGCTAGACAAACTACACAAGTGCAAAGGTGCAGAATTTATCTACACCCTACTGAGTCCTGATTGGTGCGCTACAGTATTATCTTTCCAGCTTCAACTCTGTTGAAAGGCCGTTTTTACTTTCTTATTTTTTGTATTTTGCACGTGAACATTTCATAAATACAATTTCAACCTAAGGCATGCTCTTCAAATAAGAAATATTCCTTTCGTAACACCAACCAGCCTACAGTATAACGCTTAGACTGTATTGGTTAATCTAAAGTGATTTTGGCACCAACGCTTGCTTACTGTCTATCTATTCATAGAGACCTCTAGAGACATGAACCTAGCAACTCGAGAGATGTACATCCCCCAACCACGACACATTTCGCACAACTTACTCGATTCACTTCAGTAGAACGATGCGCGCAACGGCCATTAACATGACCATCACAATTTACAGTGATGCATTTTTAAACAACATTCAACAATAATAATAAGGGGTCATTTATCGAATGCCACCTTAATTGGCGTCTGCGTTCTTATGATTCAACGTAGGGTAATGTCGCGTGACAGTCTTTAAAAACGAAGGTCAATACTTCCTTCTTTTCCTATCCCATCCTGCCACCACACAGGATGATATCGTCTTTCCCGCATTGAACTACCTTGGGCCCCTAACGGTAACAACCATCATCAAGCTTTTCACAATTTCCTGGACAGTTAAGCCAGTGTTTGCCTAACTCAAGTTAGGGTTTCCAGTTTGCAGATTCACTGTGCCGAACCCCTTGTCCGCACTAGCACTCATTTGCGACGTGCATGAGACAGCTCCTTACCACGCTAGTTCAAGACAAGACCAAACCTAATGAGACGGACAAAATCCTGGTGATACCGAATTCCCAACAATTGGCAATGTTTATAGCCATATGGCTATAAGATTACACAAACAGAACACCTCCCAGGTCACGCTTTGCAATGCGGCGAGACGTTTGCTCAGTAATGTGAGCCAATCAACGCAGTGTCAGACCAGGTGGACGGGTCACCACCCTGATTGGTTGGTTGGCATTGAAAGAGCAGAGGACTATATAAACGAGTCAAAATTACATTTTTTCTGGGTGGCTTACAAGCGTCATGTTCTGTATTCGCTATCTAATCTTATGTATAAGAAGGCTCCGTCGACCTTCGACCCGTGGCCGTAACACTACGATTAGGTAGGTGGTGACTTGACAGTTAATTGGATACATTCTTAAAAAAAATTGATATCCCATTTCCAACTCCTTCTATTAATTATTTTTCGTTTCATTGACATTGCCAGTGAAACCAGCCTTGCTTCATGCAGTATGCAAATTTGGTGCTTCAACACTTAAGATTAGGCGATTTCCTAATGCTGATCAGTGGTTAACAACAGTTTCATTATGTAGGCCATTGCAAATTGCTCACTACTGCACGATGTGGGCAAATTGTTTTGCAAAATCGCATTTGCAGCTTACTCAGAGTATCATTTTTATATGATTTTATTTGGATTGCATAAGGGAGCATGACACTGACGTGCAACGCAAGGGCTTAATCCGTGATTTTATTCAGCATGGTCAATATTTAAAAAGTCCCTGTTGTCCCACTTACAATTCTGCGTGCTGTTTTGCAGTTACACGTCAAAATCGGGATCTAACAGGAATCGCAGACGGGGTTCGCGGAATCGGTTTCAGCTGCGCCCCTCGAAATCGTAATCGGTGAGTCACTGGTTCGTGTTACCAGATCCGATGTGCTTGATGCTACGTTTTTCTCGCTTTCTGTGCACATTTCACGAGAAAAATTGCATTATTTTTCGTTTACTTTAATCAATATTTTTCAAAAAAGAAATCCTCGCTATGAAAATTAACTGGCCTCACAGTTAAACAGACACGGAAAAACTTCAACCTTGGCTTTAAGTGAATGTTAGCTGACGGGTTTTTTGGGTTTTACTTGAGAAGAATTAAAAAACTTGTACTTGCACTCCACGACACGACGAAGTTATATTTTCCACTTAGACACACTCACAACACCTTACCTGATTTACGTCAGTAGATGGAGTTATGCAACGGCTTTCAACTGTATCATCACAAGTAACGTTGATGCATGTTTTAAATAACACACACTGAAAATCGTTTACGGTCCTCCCGCCTATGTTCTCATGGTACCTTGTAGGGATATGTCGAGTGACAGTGATGAAACTTTCCACAAGAACCATTCTCCATACTTCGTCTTCAGACTCTATGTCATCTTATCACCACGCAGAATGATGTCGTCGTCCCCTCATTGTATTGCTTCTACATCCCACTCACTGTTGTTGATGTAAAGTAACAAATTTGGAAAGTAAACTCTTCAATGTGTCTTCTCACAATTTCAAATGTTATTCCCTGCCACAAAATATGCTTACTCTTTACATGCTTCGCAAGATAGGTCGGGCCTAGTAACCTCACTAAGCACGTTTGGTCTCTAAGGGATTACTTAAAGGTCTATAAATTAGAAACCTGTTGTCTTCGTGATAGCCCGCACATCATCTCGTAACGTCATCATCGATCCTTAATCGTGGTACCTCCAATTACTACTCTGAATCGTCATTTTCCATTTCATCTGGCGTCTGCAAAACCTTCAGGACTGCTGCAAGTAAGATTGCCGAAATGTGCAGCCTAGTGGAACCTACATAGGGAGATGACTGTTAGCCCGTCCCTCTCAGATAGCCACACCATCAAGGTTAGATACCAGGTACACGATAGAAGAATAGCTGGGAGAACAGGATATATTTCAAACTACCGCATACAAACTGAGAGGGCAAGAGCTTGGGAAGAGTTAGGGCGGGGAAAGGGATGGCCGCGAGGAGGGTTGGTGTTGCCCCTGGACTCACGGGCGTGCCTTGAGGAAGGTGAGAGTGCGGAAAGAGAGAAGAGGGCAAAGAACAGGTCAAATCGGCGTTTGTGGGTCATGTTTTTCAACCAGTAAATAATGTTGGAAGTGTAACTACAGCGTTGTGTCTTGAAAACATGTCGAAGACTGTCTGCCTAGTTACTGGGGCAAGCGGCGACTCCTTTGAAATTTTTGAATAAGTCCTTTGGTGTAGACAAATCAACTGAAGACTTTGGACATTTATTAAGCATGTATTTTAGCACACTGATATCCATGGCCATCCATTACTGACGAAAAGTAAAAATAACATCAAAGCATTAGTCACAAAAGGCTAATTTATGAATAGTGAATTATTGTGAAACTTCAGACAAAACATGTTTTTCATTATAATCACAGAGGGACATAGATTTATGTCCCGTAAACTATATTTTTGCATTAGCACCACTTAACTAACCTGTAAATACTATCAAAAAATTGAAGATCCACTGCTAATACGTTGAGCAACATGAAAGCACTATCCTTAGTGGCTATTTAACGCGCCTACCGAGCAGGGACCTAAATAGGTAGATGACTGTTAGCACGGCCCTCTTAGATAGCCACACCATCAAGGTTAGCTACCAGGCACACGATAGAAGAATAGCTGGGAGAACCGGATGTATTCCATACTACGGCATACAAACTCAGTGGGCAAGAGCTTAGGAAGAGCTAGAATGGGGAAGGGGATGGCCGCGAGGAGGATCGGTGTCGTCCTCGGACTCACGGGCGTGCCTTGAGGAGGGCGAGAGTGCGGGAGGGAAGAGGGGGACAAAGTACAGGCCAGACCGGCGTGCGTGGGTCGAATGACGCGCGTCACATATGGTTTTGTTGATGTCCGTCACTGCATTGATAACAGTTTAAACAACGTTACCGAAATTTCAATGAATACTAGCTTTTGAATGAATGAAAAAACTGCTTTTGCTTATCAAATTCGAGAAGATAAAATTAAACAGGTATCAATGTCATGTAGATAATTGCGTAGGTTCAAAGCACGTTCACAAATAGACTCTAAGCCCCAGCCTTCTACGCCACAGTTAATAACACTGACTACCATTACCGTCATGCAGAAGAAAACTGTTAACATGTAACGCGCCAGTTTTTTGCCTAGATATCCTTTGGAAAGGACAATGCAACTGAAAGATGCAAGGTCGCGCTGGAATTTCAGCGATCAATGCATTGCAGCCAGCATCACACTGCTCTTCGTATCCACGTGGATTGAACGTCCACTACCTTCGGTCCTAGTTTGCATCCCCATCACCTTCAGACTCGTTCACTTTTACCCCATTCGACAACATCCAAAATGAAACCATTGAAATTCATTTGTGTATATCTGTGGTCTATTGTCTATACTAAAACGAGATTAACATTGACCATTTAGATTCTTAACGCTCACGCTCGTGGTCAGCAGCTATTCCGCTCCGTATTGGGATAAGTACAACTAAGTTGATTTGCGTGAGCAACAGAAAGGCCAATTGACCTGCTGTTTTCCCTGGAATTAGCAATCGCTTATAAATATATCTTGATAGATTCGTTTGCATTAGATGCAACTAAGTATATATGGGGATAGAATAGGCCTTACACACGTAAGATTTCTGCCATGGCTTAATGTCAGAAAGGGAGAGTCGAAAACCGTGTTGATTCATGTCCGTCCACTCCGTCGCCACATGCGCCCACACACCACCCCGCCCTTTACACCACGTCCATCAGTCATACGGAACCCTCTGATCACTCCCCGTTTGCATGTCCATCCCTACCACGATGCTTCGTGCCACCTCTTGATTCACTGTGCAAGTAACTGTATCCAACCATGTTTCATACATGTGCAGGTAGTAGGGATTCTTGACATATCAAAGCTAACTCTACCTAACTAGCCTTCTATTTTTTAACTTCTGATTTATAAAAATTTGCTCAAATTGCCCTGTCTTCTTGATTTTCCTTGGGGGCGCCGAGTGGACCTGGTGAATCATAATTGCCACAGATACGGTTCGCCGAAGTCGACCAATTGCCCTTCATCCTGGATGCGGGTGGTAGTCTGCACAAACACGCACACACACTTGAGATAATGTCAAATACTCTTTGTGGGAATGAAAGGATAGTCCAGAGGTAATGTTTAATTTGTGATTTAAAATGAGTCTGCGTGTGTGTGTGTTTTGATTTTCACAGTGTGTAAACGAACGCATTGCATAAGGCACCTTAGGTGGTAATAGAGATGGTCCAACTCTGATGTCAAGTGGTGTCGTGTGCTGGACATTCTACTGACATGCGTCTCCCGGCTGTTACACACAGTAGTAATAACAAACATTAAGAATGCATTCATGGATAGCACTCACACCGGAAACAGTTCAGCAGCTCGTAAGGAACCCGATGTTAACGTGCTTCGGTTGTGGCACTTTCAGTGTGCCACCATCTGACTGGGACGTACAATTGGGATTCGTTGTCGTGTTTTTGAATACAATAACTGCCGCACAATGTGGAAGAGTAGTCTGACTATGGCTATAAAATACACAGACCTACACGCTGCCACATTCGTAATCATTCACGATCTAAATTGTTGTTACATTCTCTTTACTCGAGCCATTGTAATAACATTTATACAGCTATGTGCCGTTTCACTATCCGGTTATTAGTCATTAGCAACCATGAATTGTTGCAGTAATTCTTGTCGATTTCAGTCGTTTTAGGCAGAATTTAAGAATATCTAAGTAATCACTCCACAGAGCATTGCAATCTGCGAATTAATTAAACATTATACACTCAGGTTAAGGGAAATTTTAATGTAGCTATGCATAAATTAACATTCAGTCAATTGGTTTCATGGTTTACCACACGACAGAGTGAACAACCTCCCGCCACTATTTTTCTCTTCTTACTTGATTCAATTCAGTAGATTGCAATTGCTGCGTTCAGCACTGAAATGGCTCGTTATTAAAACAGTGGAAGTCCCTACAATTTATAGAAAAAAACCTATGCGTTTAGCACAAGCGTACCTTTTTCTGTTTCTAATAGGCAAATAAAGTCGCAGATTCACATACAGCACACCATGCTCCCTTTCTTTCAATTCCTAACAAAATATGTGTAGACATAGCGCATTTGTTTGTTAACTTTTATTCTTAAGTGAGCTGTGGCATCATTCGAAACCCACCACGTAGTTTAAGATTGCCCTTAAGAATTAGATGACAATAATTTTTTTTCAGCAAAATGTTAATGTTCTTTTGGGACTTCTTGTACGCCGTAAGAAGAGATGCAATCATTTGGCTTTGAAATGAATGTTGCTCCCAAGCCTACTTAAATCGCTAAGTTTGATTATGTGGACGGTGAGAAGCTGTCGAAATTGTCGTTATCTTTGTCGTCTTATTTATTAGCCTTGTGTACGTCCAGATGAACTCAAACTGTACACTCACCGCTTATCAAACAACGTGTAGTGCGTAAATATTGCAATTTGCCATCGCAAATAAACTAGTACTGTATCAAGGTCAATTTGGACACCTCTACCTCTACCAAATTTCCATGTCAAGACAGATATTTGCAGATTAAAAAATCTCTCATTTTGACCGGCTCATTTTAGGAGGGGCTGAGACGGTGGATCAAAAATCACGTCACCATGCTCCGCTGGAATCAAAATTGGCGAAACGCGTGAACACACTTACACGGATTGCGCACCTTTTGACCATTTTGAAAGTAGAGCCAATTAGTCGAATTAATCAGCTTCACTACGCAAATCCAGCTTAGTGTTAAATTGCACACTCATGCCAATTCTCAGATTTCCAATGATCCGCACACTTGAAATTCGAGCAACCAATTATGCACAAAAGAAATTACGCATTGCATCGAATTGTTTTTCCAGGTCACAATATTTCTAGCCTCGAATGTGCGAAATCGCTGCCAAACTGTTACATGAAGCCTTATTGCAAAGGGGGCATTTGTACCCACATGGGCTTGTTGGAGAATTTCGGACGAAGTATAGAATCAAGGCATTAGTGTATTTTTTAGTTTTCAAGGCCATTCAACTCTGTGTTTTCACCAAATTACCATGGTATTTTTGTAGGCATGCCGTAGACAAATGTTAGCACAACTAAGTAGGTTTCTACATCGGTGGGACGCTTCCACTATACTTAACTAACTCCACTTGGGTGCATTACACTTTAGAAATAATCTATTAATTTCTGGCCTCTGTAGCGTCCCACTTGAGCTGCAGTAGATTTCGTGATTCTACATGTGTTTGTTGGAGCATTTTGAGCGAATTATAGAATCTAGGCATTAATGTATTTTATTTAGTTTACAAGGCCATTCAACTTTGTATTTTCACCAAATACAGTGGTATCTTTGCAGGCACGCCGCGGACAAATGTTCAAGGAACTAAGAGGGCTTCTACATCCGTTGGACGCTTCCACCAAACCTTACTTACTTCACTTGGGTATATCAGAATTTAGAAACAATCTATTAATCCCTGGTCTCTGTAGAACCCTGTTTGTTCCGCAGCAGTTTCGTGATTCCACATACTTGCCCTATAACCAAAACTGCAAGCCATCTGCCACCTTTGTGCCGACATCATCCCCCTTTAGTTTCCTTAAGTGAACTCGGGCGTTCCGCATTGTTCAACCATCGATAGTATCAATACAGACATCATTACTGCCATACATTTCGAATTCGATGCTCTAGCTTTTTGATTCTTTATTTGGCTATCTAACGCAATAATGCACACATTAGTCACGAACAATAAGTTACTAACACAGGTGTATTCGATAGGACAGTGAATTGATATTCAGACGAACCTCTAGTGTCGCCTTCTCTTTCTTACTACTCAACATTTACTCCTCAAGCACGTAAACACTAATTTTGCTTTTCATGGGAAACTGTTAATTTTGCACAAAGATCGATCCACATTTCAGTTATCTGGCAGGTTAAACCGAATGATTTCAATAATGGACTGCAGTTAACGGCACTTGCATATCATGAAATGCTGTAATCACATATCAAAAGCGTTACCATCTCTGCGTCAACACATAACCATTCAGCTTCTATTAAAAGTTGGGCAAGTAGCAATTTTTTTATTAGAAACAAAGCTTTAATTCTGTAAGATTCCACTCTTGACTGTAAAGCACAATGCTTAATGTACGGACGAAACATTCTACACAGCGATGACAGACTTATCGAATTTCTTGCTTAGGAAAAATGTCATTCTACAAGCGTGGTTAAACTCGTTGTTAATGGCAGTTGAGGTAATTACAGAAGCTTGGCTTAAGCGCTTGAGAAGAATCAACATCTCACAATCATTCATTGACTAAGAGACAATAATAAGGTGCCTGTTTTGTTTCTTTTCCCAATGTTTGCTCCCCGGTTTGCCTTGCACCAGGTTTAATCCATCTGCAGCCTGTCGCTCCTTGGACACCCACTGCAGCCAGCTATTCGAAAGACCATCGTACTGTGAGGGCACATGTGGACACAAATAATTTGCAATTCTACAATCTTTCACATGGTATGCCAGTGAATTTCCTAGTTCAATCTAAACACGATAATTGTGCCCACACCGTTACCTCGTACCGCTGCCATAGACCAGATTACAGTCTCTGACTTGTACTAATCCTACACACAAATCGGACCAGCATCTCAACTGACTCAATGCATTCACCAGTTTAAGGAAATATCAACTTTTGTCCAAATAACGCATCAACTGTCACCATGACCATTGTCACTGCTCCGTTTTAATCCTGTCGACGAAAAGACCCATGCACTACTGATTAGCAACTCTTACCACGACAAATAATACAACAATATGCATTCTGCAGATTCGCTTGCAAATCACAATCGGTCTTCTTCTGCATCAGCCAATGTCAAGCAGCAGCATCATCATTAACGTCTACTAAACACAGAAATGTCCATGCAATCATTCTATACGCTCTTTGCATCTAGTAGTGGAAGTCGAATTGCCTGTCATTAAGTTTAAAGGTCGTTTTCACTCCCACAAACTAACCAACAGACTGTTGACAAATGCCTTGGTAATATCAACAATTAAAACACGAAATTGTTTATTACAGTCACATATTAATAAACATTCGATTCATTAGTCCATCTGACCACAAATAACCACCTTTTGCTAACTGACTGAGTGCATATTTCTAGTTAAATTAACAGTGATTGTGTGATTGTGCAAAAGGTAATATTGTGTTCACTCCCACTTACCAACTGATTGTCTAAACCATCAATGAATGCCTTGACCACATCGAAATAATACACACATAAAACAACACATTTTTGTTTTGACCGTAAAATATTAATGTACAGCCTTGGGTTTAAATGGCATGAACGTTTATTAAACTTGGGCGTCGTATACTTTGCACAGTTTTTATTCTCTTTTCTAGAAAAATGCGAGTAAATGAAATCAATGCCACTTAATTTAGGATTGAGGATTGTTTGCCCAGTTTGATTTTGGAGAAACAAAAACAACTACCAGCAATTAATGAAATCAATCGCTTCGCAGCACTTGTGGTGGTAATGGTTATGGAGATCGAATTGCAGCAACGTGAGAGCATCACACAAACTGCTGACCTCGACTCCTGCCAATGAACACAAAAAAACCTGTAATGAAAAGGTATAAAATGTGGGGAAGCAGAGGAATCAGGTAAGCGAAACCCCAAGCATGATTGCTGTTCTCGCCTTGGTCGCAATTTGCTATGCAAGCTTCACAGAAGGTAGGTGGACAAACGTACCTGCACGTAATGCAAGGGGGTGCAGATATTCCTTCGTGCAATAAATAATCCATTGTGTCACGTAACAACTTCACAATTGTAGACATGCTAAAATGTAAGCCTTCTTTGACTTAAGTCACGTTTTCCAATCTCCTTTGTCTCTTTTCTGACAATTTGCAATGTGACCGATATCTGTGGCTGATATTCAATTCCTACAAATTATCATGACAATATGTGATTTATGTCATCGGATCACAAATGCTTGACCTGGTGCCGCGTACTTCATTCTACACATGTGATTCTGTGAATGTCGAAAATGACAACGCGTTCTAGTGGCCTAATTTAGTGTTCTTTTCTTTTTCTTTCCTAGCCCAACAATTCCAGAATCAGATTTGCGAGCTTCCTATAGTTCAGGGTCGCGGTCGAGCTTTGATGCCGATGTGGGCTTATGACGCAGCCAATAAGCGATGCATTCTTTTCCATTACGGCGGCTCTGGTGGAAACGCGAACCGATTCGACACCAAAGCGGCTTGCAAGAAGGCATGCGAGCCCAACCGCCGTCGTGCTCGCGCCTCTTAGAAATCGCTTTCCTTTGAAACTGCGTGTGTAGTACTTCGATTGCTTCCAGTAAACGTGTTGGTTTCCTGCTAGTATCTTGTCTTAATCTGAATTGATTAGCCCTCGATTTGGGTGGAATTTGACTTTGGTGCTGGCAACAGTTAGACAATGGTTTGCAAAGAATGTGCAACAACTAAGAACAAAAAAATGAATCTTATAACTGAAAGACAACAAATGAAGCTACTCAAGTGCGTGTTGACGCAACTTAATCTCTTTGGGGAATTAATGCGTGGACAGGTGACGCGATGACTTCACTGATAAACCCATGGAAGTAAACGTAATAGATGAGGCAATCCGTCATCCAAGTTTATCTATATCTACCTTTAACTTGCCTTTTGTGGGCGTCTGTAATCTGAGCCATCCAGATACAACTTTTATAACTTCACACCAAATTAGCAGTTGTTGACTGAGTTTTCGTGTTTTCAAAATTAAAACCAAGCAACCAAAACTGCAGTATTGTAATCGATAAGAAATCCTAGCCTGCATGCCATGCCGATCCTATTTGTTTACGTTGTTCACTAAACTTCCTTTATCACCTTGACTCTTGTGTTGACAGTGGGCGATTTGACTCTAGCAATGCCTACCAGATGTGAATACGCCACAACCATGAATCAATCACTAATACAGATTCGCGAATGTTCGTGTTAAGATGTCAGAATTTTTGATGTCTGAATCATACACGCCTGACGCAAAAACTTAATTTAAAACAGTAACATGCTCCATTATGAGAATATGGACAAAAAATAAGAATTTAACCTTCTTTTTCTATTTTTTGCTCAAGAAACATCATGAAACGTCAACCGTTAATGGCCGTCGCGCAATTAACTCAATACTTGTTCAGTTTAGATACGTGAGCAGTTGGCACTGACATATTTACATCTGATCAGTAAAATAAATATTAGTTGCCGACAAACTGCAAACATGCCACCTTCATGATTGTGCAAGATTTGTTCGTCTTTAGCAAAGCCCGTAAGTACACATCAATAGATCGTTGGGAGGCAAAATTGATTAAATTACGTGTGAGATTTTTAAAGTTGTCCCACACACCTTGTTTATCAGTTCTGTTGCGTAGACCTTTATTTGTGGCATATACAAATCGTAATAGGAGTCGTCAGTTAACACGTCAACAAGCCTCTTCTGTACCGCTAGAAATGTTGGAGGTGACTTATTTTGCAATCAGTCACACCTCTCCCCAAAACCTACTCAGCCTTGCGTCTCTACATTGGCGCCACTTTAACAGCGTTGAAATAATGGTAGCAGAGTAAGAGTGCATCTGTCAGTTGATCATGTTATGTAAAACACTGAATCAAAAACTTTTAATTTGACAAAGCTTCACCCGCGTAATATAATTTATGACAGGTGAGAGCTGGCGTCCAACGCGATTATGTAGCTACTTTCCTAGTTCAAAAGCTTTTACTGCTTTTGTCGTTTTCGTCTTTGCCTTCGATGACACCAAAAGAGGAAAATTATATTGTCTAGCAGACACTGCTCCTTTGCTTGAAGCATATTCTGTTACACTCATATCGATAAATTGAAGCGTGTCTTACTGGTATTGATTGTCTGTGCATCTTGTGTCACCAATTATCCAAGTCGTATGGACACAATTCGCTTTTAAGATGAAAAATCGCATGTTATGCGATTCGTGTTCTCCTTGCATTACCATGTTTAGGACCTTAAGCTCCGCTACAGGTTAAAACGGACATTTACCTCCGTTTCCTTACAAGGGGACCCATGGTTACTGCTACATCAGTAGAAGCTCATTCTTACTTGTCATTGCTTTCCCCAGTACTTCTCAACATCCCCGTCATGTCAGCCGACAACAGCGATCTGAATCATTCGGTGCATTACCATTATCATGGCCAAAAGTAGGGATTCGTATTGTCTTCCTGATACTCTGCCTTCCCAAGTCGGTTGAGGACTAAGAAATACGGCTTTGCCTCAGACTGCAGACACTTGCTGCAGATTTGAATGACCAAAATTGTAAAAAGCACTGCTTTCTGCATAAGGGCCGGATTTTGCTTATTCCTTCTTAACAGACTACTTTACCGAATGAGACAACTTGGCTATTGCTGCTCACGGACATCGATAATTCGGGAAGAACAGCTGCTAATCAGCCAAAACAGCTACTGTCTTTCCTCAGAAAGAGGATTTTTACCTACACGAGGATAGCGAGGTTTCTGTTTTCCTGGCAGCTGGCATGCCCTCACAGATTCGATTAACGGACAATGGAATCCATTATGTGATCTTTATAATAGCGTCAACTAGCAACAATAAATAAAATCAATCGCGTCGCCATACTTGTGGTGGCAATGGTAATGGGGATCGAATTTCACCAAAGTAAGCACATCGCACAAACTGCCGACCTTGGCTCCTGCCAATAAACACCAAGAAAGTATGACTAAAGGGTATAAAATATAGGAAGGTGGAGAAATCTAGTAAACAATACTACAAGCATGATTGCTGTTCTTACCTTGCCAGCTCCATCATAACCGACTTGACACAAATTCGTGTGACACATGGCAATATTGTTGTGTTCAGTACTGCAAGAAGGTAATAAGTATATTTTATTTGAACATGTACACTAGTATTACGTGCATTTTCTACATAAACGTATCCATGCTAAAATAAAAGCCTTCTTTTACTTCCATCATGTTATAAGATTCTTTTTGTCTCATTTCCGACACGACCAATATCTGTAGTTGATATTAAATCCATGCGACTGTTCGTGTCATCGAGACGTAAATCCTTGACTCGGTATTTGCGTTTATCTCCGCATTGTTGTTACAGTAAACCGATCGGAGCCGAAATTTTCAATGGTGCTGATTTGTCCAATGGGAACGGTGCATTAGTTTCCACTACGGTGGCTGCGGCGGCAGCAAGAACTGCATGTTCATTAACATGCAAGCGTCGCATTTCCACTGGCCTTTGTCATATTTGGAAAGGGTTGAGGTTTGACTTGAATGAGTTTTAACTGAGGTGTTTTTGAGGTGGTAGATCGTGGTCTGCGAAAAATGGGTGATGCTCATTATAACTCTAAATCCATAACAATTCTGCTAGGCTTCACCTTAAATCACAGGCTTGTGTTGATTCCTGTAAATTCGTCAAGTACGGACAAGTTATTGAAGAACTGCCCAGACTAAAAAACAAAGGCTAAAGAGTATTTAATTAGTTAAACATGGTAATTGCACTCTACGACCACATAGGGCAACACACGAGAGCAGAGGTATCGGGCGTGTCTTAGGTTCCGCATTGCCAAGACGTCAAATCTCGCAACAGAAATAGGCCATACACCTAGTCATTTGAATCAAAATTGCATACACTTGGCATAATTATTGAATTAAATACCTAGTCTCCGTGTTGGCAGTGGGCATTGTGACCTGTAACTTATAATATCAACACTAACTGACACAACTAGTTTTTAAATAGCCACGATACCGATTAAGCTGTTGAGTTTGAAAGTGGATTGTGTCGAAGTTTGAGACGGCGGGCAACTTAATGGCGGTGCTGCGTTAAACGGCGTTACACGTAGTCCTCCTCGTCTTGGTATTTGTTAGTCTCGTTTGCCCGAATCAGGATATTCAATCTATGTTAATAGCTGATTCACTAGTGTGACTTGGATGGATTTTCTACTCACACTGAAATTTCGTTATCGCAAAGAGGGTACTGCTCGTTTAATGTGCGTGATCACACTGCTTTCACCGACTTCACAAGTCGATATTCTCCTATTCAAAAATTCATTTTGTAAGGTGGGAACATAAAGATCAGAAAATCATGTTATGGCACCCTTCTGACAATCAAAATATTCAAACGGTCGCACATACAAACACCACAAATGCATACGTAGTTGACCATGAGGACAATAAGGGCCGTACGTCAAAGACAATCAGCTCCTCTAAGTATTTTTTTGCCAAATGAACAGCCTTAGCTTTCCAAACAGCTGACATAGGCATTCGGGATTTCAAACATTACACACTCACACTGGACAGGCTGAAAAATTATATAGGTACTAAAGTAGCCACATGATAAATCAACTGTCTTCTGAGGTACCAATGCTGTTAGCCTCAACCTTGTCGCATCATACCTGCATTTTTATGTGGAACACAATTGTTCCAACGACTCTCCGACCAACCAAAAAGGAGCTTTTGATGGCATCGAAATTAATTATGAAGGTACAAACCAATATTGAGTGCTTCGTTATGCTAATCTAATAAGCACAACGTGACTGTGAAGAGGTTCGTTCACCCTCATGTGACTTAATTTGAAGGAGATCCTTCAACGGCATTATTCAAATCCCCAGTGCATCCTTCCTTGAGCTTGGCCATGTTCACCCAAACTACTCCGGTGCCACTCCGTTGAGTCTACACTAATGAGGCTACCCTGGCATCTAGAGGCAAAGGTGTGGTGTACCGTGAACGTGTATTGAGGGCAGTGCATGATTCATTTGTTTTGGTAGCTGATGCAGCTGAGTCAACTAGTAGAAATACAAACGTCGGAAAGGTCCAGTCGGATGAATGGGGTAATGGTGGTCCATGCACAGGGCTGAATAAGCACGCTGTCTAGCGTGAATGACAAGCACGCCATGAAAAACGGACGTGTGTGTGAGAGGCTGCCAGGACTTCGTTATGTGACGTAAATCAACGCGACTTGAAGTGTCTGTGACCAGGTCGCACCGCAGTGTTTTGCGCGTTGCTCAGAATATAAGCCCTAGTCTAAGGCTGTTCCACATCGTGTTTCCACCAAATCACTTTTGCACTTTGGAGGCCTAGAGTTAATTCATACTCGTGGTACCAAATAAGCCACACACTTTGACTCTACCATAACTAGTTGCGGTCAAAAGAGCAACTCTAAATTAGCACTCCCCTGGGTCCCATATACTTTGCTGATATAAAAGTAGGTTAGAGAGTTTAGTCAACTGGGTATCTCGGGATCTACTAACAACGTTCAAAGTTTAAGATTCTCCT